TCAACACATCACTTCAAAAAAATGTGAAAGTCTCTGTTTTTAAGAAAAATTGTTGACCCCATCCCAAAAAGGACTTACTTATCTCACCCCCTCCAAATCCCAATAAGATAATTATTGGGATACTAAACGGTGTTCTTCAGGAGTAACATGCACATTTCAAGCAACTTCGTTTGCTCTGGAGGGTTATTTCATCAAAATGAAATTCTGAAGGGATATGTTATTTTAAAAATATACTGCATCTACAAGTTTTTTATTATTATTGTTGTTTCAGTTGATTTTGGTTTTTAACAGGTTGTCTGTAATATAAATGACACATGACCACAACTGATTTTTATATACCCTCTATCCCTAACACACAGCTGATGTCAAATGAACCAAGAAGGAATTCGGGACTTTCATAATGAACAGAACCATTTATCCCAATGATCTTTAATAATTTTGTTCATCACAAAGTCCCCTGAAATCATGTCAGCACTGATCATTTGCATGTCTTCATCCATTGGGGTTCTTCACAGTTTTGCAGCCATGAAATTGATATGTGGTTTCACCAGTGGGAAGAGCGGCAGACTGCGCTTGAACTCTGTCATATTTTCAATCACACTTGGCTGCAAAGAAGTACATGCAAGAAAAAGTCTGCTCAGTATCTTTAATCAGAAAAGTGGCAAATTCCTTGCTTTTCATTTTAACTGCTGCTACAGCTACATATAAATACACCTGTCTTGCTCTCTTCTACAATATTAGTGAGTCATACTTAATTATTACATTACAGGAACCTCCAAAACACAATGTTATTTCTTATTAAACAACCGGTTTGATATTTATATAATTTCAAACAGCTATAATGCAATAACTGCATTGCTAATAACAGCAGAAACTCCAATAAATGCAGAGCTGATCTTTTCATTTTCATTCTACTTCAGAGCACCCCACCTGTCCTTTGAACATCAGAGTAAGATCATAACCATAATAGCTATTCTATGCACTATTATTTTTAGATGTAGTAACAAAGTAAGCTAGTATTTCAGTCATAATGGCTAATATATCCTCATACTATTCATACAGAAATTTCTGCTCATGGTAATTATTTCACCTGTAAGGTCTGATGAAGAACACAGACCTACCACACTGTGAAAAGTTAATCACCTGTTGGGACAAACACTGCAATCCTTCAAGAAAAGTCACTGAAGGTCCAGTAAGGGCCTAGTGCTGCCCTATCCAAACACAGAGAAATCTGTAATACTGTATGAACAGAATTTGCCAGACTGTTTCCTCCCCAGTTAAACACATTGACAGGAATCTGCATTAGTATTTTAGGCTTTAAGAAAATGACCAAGTAGTTGGTTTTACTGTTGCTTTGGGGTTGGGTTTGGATTGTTTGTTTTTTTTTTTAAACAAAGATGATACATTTGTTGATGCATATTCATCTCTGTCTTGACACCTGATTCATCTGATCATATACAATCAGTATTTTCAGACAATAAACATCTGTATTTAATCCATAGTGCAGATACCCAGTGCAGTTTACTACTACTATTAGCTTTGGTTTCAGAGAACTAAAGAGAATCGAGGAAAATGGTACTATTGATAAAAAGAAAAATCAGTAAAATCCCTGTTATTAGTGACAATAAAAATGCATGTCGAAAAGAGCTAAAACATCAGCCCCATGACAACAGCAATTTCCAGAGATCTGTTTCTCCCTATAAATTCTTATTTAATGATACAAAAGATTCAGATTAAGAATCTAGATTTCTAGATTAAGAATGTAGGCTAGGAATTTTTTTGTGTGTTGTTTCTTTTTACCTGTGGTAGTGGAGGTGCTGGTGCCAGGTTCACATCATTTTGGCATGGAAATTCTCCAACAACGGGGCCTATTTAACATCAGCAAAATTAATTTGGGACCATAATTTAATTACTATCTTTTGCATAACTGATCAATTGTTTTCTCTTATAAGACAGGTTATCTAAATAATGCACCTTTATTTAAGTATTTAAAGTTAAAAAAATAAATAAATATTTAAATTTTGAAGTATCACTAAATAAGGTTTTTATAAACACTTTGTTTATAAGGTTTTATAAACATTTTGCTTTTATATTACAGTCTGTCTTTAGAAATACAGATATTAATCCATTATTTTATCTGAAAACATGAGCTGAGGCAGTGGCTTTTATTCATTTTACTTACACATAAAGACAATGTAGAAATAAAAATTGCTAATCTGTTGATCAATCAATACTTAAAACTGCTTCTCAGTACAAATTATGAGAACAGTAGCAAATGCCAGTGGTACATACAAGAGCAGTGCAAGAACAGCACATAATTTGATAAGGATATGCCTATAGAAGTGTAGAGGTTTCTCCAGGTACCAAAAATCTGGACAGCAACCCCAAGTATTCCCTGCTTAAAACCATACATGTCCTATTCCAATTACCCGAAAACTTATTTTTGCATTTCTAATATCTTTTTTTTTCATGGCATAAAAGAGGCCAGATGCCAGATTAAAAGATTTAGGATTGGGCAATTGTTTTAGGATTTGTTATAATTTCTGTAAGTAACCACTTGTCAGGCTGTCTTGCAAGCTCACCATTTTCTTGGGAAGGTACCATTCCAAGCAAGCAATACCCAATTTGGCAATGCAATTACTACACTTTAAGAAGTCTCCTCTAGATAGGAAAAGTTTTAGAACTATTTCTATTTAGCAATTACCAGCCATGAAAACTGTAAAGGCGCTTTGAAGCAAGTCTTCCTTACTTAGCTGCAAAGCTGTAACTTCTACTACCATAAAAATCAATCCTTCTGAGGCAGAAGGGAGTTTTCATGACATGCATGCAGTATCTGCTTTCCTCTGCAGTAAAGACAAGCTTTTAATATTTTTGACTTTGCAAACAAATGCATGTTGGAATTTAAGTCCAATGGTGAAAGATTTGCAAAGAAAACCTTCAAAGTTTTTCCTCTCAGTTTATTCATATTAACAAGAAACACTTTTAGACTTTTCCTTCTAAAATTGAACAACATAGTTTAGAATGCACAACTGATCTATATTACTTCAAAATAAAACCAAAATAAAAATTGACCTTCTTAAGTTTAAATAAAACTTTTGACATTCCCAGAGGTTTTAGTTTCTGTTTGTTTTCTCCTTTGAGGGTGCTTGAATATATATTCTAATTTTGGGCTTGTTGGGGGTTTTTCTCCCCTGTAGGACTATTAAAAAGTTTAATGTTTATTTTAAAATATCTGCTTGAAAACATAAGTATTTTAGGACATATTGGTTTATTATCAATATATTTCAGAATACTGATAAGCTGAAAAATTTGTCTAAAAAATGAACAAAAAATCTGAAGCACCCATGTGAAGTACACCTTTTCCCCTTAAAGAGTATATAATCTCCAAAGCTGAGTTTTTCTTACAGTGGATTTGTATGATATAACACAGCTATCTGTTACTATGACTTGCAGGAACAGAAATTGATTAAATATTATATTCAGCACAATACTTACAGGAATCCATTTCCCTTGCAAGGACATGTACTGATACCTTGTGTCTTCTAGGAGCATCTATTGCCAACAGCACCTACAGTAAAGAATATCAAGTCCCTCAGGTGTAGTATCCCTTAGACATTATAAAATAGTAAAAAGAATGAGAGCATTTAAATTTTAAGTTAAGCCCTAAAATGGGGGATGGCTTTTGGCATGTGCCTTCAAGTATTATTAAAAGTCATCCATACTGTACTCCTGAATTATTTTACAGTCAAGTTAAGCCATTCATGTACTGCTTGGAACTCAGAAAAACTGTAAGTAATAGAAATTCAGCCATTAATTATCATAGTATCAGGAATGCAACCTAAAATCTCTGTAAAACTTTCAATCCCTAGCAGTCTTCTGGATGCACATCAACCTGAACAACCATTAAATTCAGCTGGACTAGCCCACCAATCTAGCATGTTATTACTGCTGTGGAATGCTGGATAATCATGTATTGAGCATTAGTGTAAGCAAAATAGTATAGATTCCTACAAACCCAGAATATGCACACTCATCCAAAAGTTCTCATTTATTAAACAAGAGGTACTGAAATTCCATTTACTAACTTTGCATTTGCTGCATAATTTCATGTATGCTATTGTACTATTAAAAAAATTAAAAGTAAAGAACCCCCTCTGCCCAGCAGAGGAAAAAAGAAGACAGACACACACATACCCATGCTGCTTCATGGGCAGAAGTTTTTCCATCCAATAATAAATTCTGAAGACATTAAATTGATCGTATTTTCCAAAGAACTCCCCGAGCTACCAGCTACTCCATAAGTAATAAAACTCCATGAGCAATATAGTGAAATATCATTGTATACTACACATTAAAAACCAGAAATGATGATGTCCATATTTTTTTTATACAGGTGTGGGGTGATAGGGACAGGACAGGGACACATTTGAATGACTTATACTGGATATCCATCTGAGTTAAAATGTACAATTACAGCATCATTATGCTGCTCCTTTGCTCTGCCTAACCATTAGAGGAACAAAAAACGCTTCTGATTTACATTTACAGTGAACAAAGCTTTAAAAATATCTGTTTCATTCACAATTCATGCCTGTAAAATAAGCTGAATCACTGATTGGTTGAAGAAAAAGATAAAAGAAAAATTTTTGCAATTTTGTCCAGGCTTGGTAATAGAGCAGCACATTTTATGTCCATAAAGAAAATATAAATGAAACAAGAATAAGAGCCAGCAAGGAAAAAACCACAACAAAACCCTATCATTCTGTGCAATTTTTACAGTTGCTATTAACTAAGTAATATTCAGGAAATAATAAAAGATACCCGCATTCATTTTATCATCTACCTAAAACAGGTGTCAGTATATCCCTTCAGGGCATGCACAAATAAGATTCAGTTGTATCTCCATCTCATTCTCAGTAACATTTTAGCTGCATGACTAACTTACCTTGTAGAACTGTATAATGTCATCCTTGGTCAGGGTCTTCAGATAAGCCACTTCAATGTTATCTGCACAACAATAGTACAAATTAGAGCAAATCTGCAGATCACAGCTGGTTATTAACACACTGCTTATACAAAGTATACTTCTTTCAAATTCAGATGCTGTAATTGACTGCAAATGAAAAGCTTTTCATTGTTATCTTTCAAGTCAATACTTGCTTCACTAAAAGTGTCAGTAGAACCTTGGCAGAAAATTATACTTCAATAAGTCTATTTGATTTGACTTACTGAAAAATGCATATTTGAAGAATACTGATGCACTGTGGGATATTCAGTAGCTAAAATAGATATGCCTGCTCTTGTGTATTATCTTCAAATCAGTTACACATTTCTAATGCAGACTGGTTATAGATGGCTTTTATTCACAGTTAGGAAACAGGATGGTAGGACACACTTTTACAGAAGTGTCAAAGAATGGTGCCTACATTCCCCTTAAAAAGTAGTCACACCTTTAAGATATCTGGGGACAATGTGTTTCAGTTGCTATACTCCTTCATATTAATTAAACTGTCATGGACTAATCACCTAATATCATTGCTGCTTAAGCAGAAAGGTTTCTTGTAGGCGTGCTTGCTTTTCTTAGGATTAGCAAGAAGATCAAGGAAGAAACACGTGCAAGAGAACAGAGAGCAACCAAGCCTGTAATGCAGGCTGTAAGTTATATGAAGTTCTACATGGAGGAAATACAAAAATCAACAATACAGTTTGGAAAACTAGGTAAGATTTGGGAGAGAACAGTAAAAGTAGTAATATTTAAAATGTACAAACAAAAAACATCTTCTTAAGGCTGGAATACGAACTTTGGATTTTGACAATCCTAGTCATATTAAAATCATGAATGATATAAAATTACTAGTAGGCAGAGGGGAACTAAAGATACAAAAGTCAAGGGAAATAATAAGTGGGATTTAGGTATTAAAAATATGGCTACACTTAGCAGTAAGAAATTCCAGAGAGATACTATTGATCCAATTATGGTATAAACAGACACACTTAAGGCTGAGAAATACCACACTATTTCATCAGACACAAAAAAAAAGTACTTGAATGATAAGTTTCCATTCCACTTCTTATGCTCAGGCATAAAAGTTTTCAGTAGCTCTTATTCTCTCTACACCAAGCTAGATGACGAGTCAAAACTCTTCATTATTAAACAGCTCAGTGAGTCATCGTGAAGCAAAAGGACTGTATTTGCTATCATGGAAAGGCAATATGGTACACATAAAGCAGAAGAGAAGTCACAGAATACAGAATGAGTTTTATGGAGGAAGCATATTATGCATGAAGACAGAAAATTACAGCTGTGAGTAAGAGTCGAGACATTAAACTGTCAGGAAAAACTGATCTGTACCTAAACTGATTTTTTTTTAAATGTTAGAAACTGTATTACTAATGTGTCTAACTGTATTAATAATGTATCTCAGCATTAAAAAAAAATTAAAATACATTTTAAAAGTATTTAAATTCAAGTTAAATACTATGTAGGGCCACACAGTAAATAAATGTCAGTCTATTTTCTGTAATAATACTAGAGGCTAGATCTCATTTGGTCTCTTACAAACCTATAACCTTCAAAGCACCACAAATGAAAAAAACCCAAAATAAATGAGTGTTTCTTCAAACCCACTCTAAGCTGAGAGCTGAGACAGATTGCATGTTAGTTAAGATACCTGCTGCTGCATCTGTCAGCACTCCCTCAAAACAACTGCACAATGCAAAGTGAAACTGGGTTCATATGAATGTGTGTACTGTCAGGAATGTCAGTGTGTATCTGACTGCATCACAGGAAATAGACAGTAAATTATGTATAGGCTGTGTAAAAGTTTAAGTTGCTCCCAAATGAATATGACACTCAACAGTCACAAATGCAGCCAGACTAGAGCATTCAGTTTTAAAGGAATTACCATTTGTCTTACCTCTGTCAAAGTTATACTGCTGGGAAATGATTTCTCCCCAGTATTTAGCACATTCTGCAGACAGCTTCTTTGGTTTGTCTAGACGACGAATTGCTAAAGCTTGGATGTGTTTTTGGAAGGCCTCTTCTGTCATGTCTTCTATGCATTTCTCCATAGTTTTTAGGAACGCTTCAACTCTGCTCTCTAAATAGTGTGGTGGCTTTTCAGATTGGATAATAAATCGCAGTCCTTGGATGCCATTTGCCCGACGTGGGCCACTGAACACAATGTAACCTTGGCAAAACAAGAAGAGCCACAAATGAAAAGAAATCCTTTGTCACAGCCTTGATTTTGCCAAATGCAGCACATTTGGCAGGAAGGCAATGCTGTGCTAACTTAATTCTGTGTTATAAATAAAACAATGCAGGTTTTCAAAACGTGCCACTGAATTTTTTTAGAACATCTTTATTTCACTGAGGTCAATATCAATTTAGGGGAGGCCAAGGAGGAGTAAGGCACACTGACAAAACAAAAGCAATTCTGTCATCAGGATCAGGTTACAGTTTTCGTCTACCCTTTTAATAACAAATCAATCACACTTCAGTCTTTTAAATGCTGTTTTATAGTTTTCTTACAGTTTCCTGATGCTCATGTCAAAACTGGTTACAGTATTTCAGAGTTTTTATCTGAACAATTTAGGAGTATTACTGTGAGTACATTTTGAATGCTTCCATTTATACATCCCAGCATTTTACACAGCAGCATGACACTGCTGATTTATGTCCTACTTCTGATCCACTGTACCCTGCAGAGTTTTCTACAAAATTCCTACCTAGCCAGTTGCTTCCTGGCTTGTATCTGTGCCATTGGCTGTTCCTGCCAAACTGTTCCTAACAAATTGCATCTTGTCTTCATTCAAGTCATGTTTCCAAAATGTCAAACTAATTTTAAATTCTAACTCTATCTTCCCACACACTTGCAGCCTCTCCCAAATTAGTATTATCTGAAGATTCAGTGAATACCCTCACTCTTCTATCATCCAGAATTCTGATGAATATAGCATGGAACACTGGATCACAACAGAGCTCTGTAGAACACCATTTTCTAAATTAACTATTCTCTATTCTCCAATCATGACCTTCTATGTACCCAGATGTGTAGTTCTTCCACCTAGGTACTTCCACAACAGTCTCTCAATTACCTTCCGTGAATTTAGAACTAGCTTGAAAATATATACCATGTTTTCTTGGAGTTTCAATTAAACTCACTGATCTATAATTTCCCTGTTTCTCTTTCCTTTTTTTTTTTAAGGAAACACGTAACATTTGGATGTGTCTATCTTTCTAATACCTTATCATCCACAAATTTTTCATTATAAGACTTTTAATTCCAGGATTTCCTAATTTCATTCTTTGGAATAGAATGCAGAGTTCATCATACCTTGAACTTTTTAAAAGCTTCTCAATTAATCTGATTCATCTGTTATTTTCCCGTTCAAAAGTAGGACATGAACTTTGATTCCCAGTGTTTATTTTGGAGGTCATCTGGCCACAGCTGATAAATTTTAAGTATAAACTAACTAAGCCATCCTGAATTTTCTGACGATTTGAACATTTTTATTTTAATGATTTGAACACTTTTTTCCCATCATTGTCAACTTTTCTCCCCCACTTTCTCATACTGCTTTACAATTTATTGAAAGAATTCTTGTTACTACTTCTACTGTTTAGCAAACTTAACTTCTTACTCTTTAACTTCTTTTTCCCTAAGCTTTCTCAAAAATCTTACTAAGAATTCCATGAAATTTACTGGATTTTGATGGTATTTCTACTGTCTCCCCTCCTAAGTCTCATGAGTTCTATTATTTGGCAAATATGAAGTGCTGGACACTAAACTAGTTCTTCTAAGTTCCACCCTGCCTCTTTAGTTGTTACTGCCAACTTCTATACAAAACCTGCCACCAGCACATTTCAAAAACCTGTTAAATAACCTAGGTTCTATCCTATTTTCAGCAGGTATATAGGCAGTTGAAATACTATGATGAGTATTGTATGGCTGGTTCTGCTAGTTGCTCACGAAAAGCCTAATCTTGCCTGACATCCCTGGCAGTCATCACACTGAAATATTTGCCTGCTTCTCACCTTTGGAAAACCTGTACTTCTCCTCACCAGTATAACAATCATGTGAGCTGTCATACAATGTCTTTGTCTCTCCTTCTTACTCTGTTTAGAATAATCTCCCCAGTTCTCAGCCTTACTGGTTCAGGTAACAATTATCTGTACTTACTGGTGAACAGCTGTAGTCTTAAAAAGCCTGAAATGTATTTAGGTTTTCACCAATATGGTTGTTTACCACTACCCACACAACAGTATTTCCAAGATAGGGCTTACAATTTAACAGTTGGACTCAGTGATCTTAGACATCTTTCCCAACCTAAATGATTCTGTGATTCTATGAATCATGAAATGCACCTAGAAGTAAGATCACAAGAAGGAAACATCAAACTACTATTGATTCTTTAAGAAGATCTACAAATTTAGGGGACTGATCATCCTTTTGGTAAATTCTAACATGAAGTTTTCTGTACAGTGCTCGCACTTTTTTTGAGTTGGAGATGATTTCAGATCTTTCAGACATCTTAAAAATCATGCCTGCTTGTTCTTATTTTAGACTCTATGCACAGTAGAATTTCTTTGAGTCATGAGCAGTTAAGATGATTTACATTTACCAAGTGCCCTTTAAATGGCATTCAGTAAGCAGGGAGAGAACACCCCCTGCTCAGGTCTCGTGCGAGCGCGTGACTGTGACAGCTCGTGTGCACAGACACCGCCACTCCTGGGAACTCACCTAACTGCTCCTGGGTGCGCAGGGTATTGAAGCACGGCTCTGAGATAATCTGGCAGAAGAGCTCCAAAAACATATTCTCAGACGTACTCTGCATGTCTGTCTGGTAATATATTTCAATGCCACAGTTGTTATGAACCTCATTTCTCTGTTGGTATACAAACCAACCTCCTAAAAGACAAAATTAAAACACTGAAGTTCATGGAAGTGTACATTCCTACTGTTGACAACTAAAAATAAAATGGTCTAAGGTTCATGATTTATACTAAGTGGTTTAGGACTGTTAAAGCAGAATTTCCACTAAGAGCATACTTTTCATGAGAGAAGAAAAGAATGTATCATTTTACCATCAAAATGTTGCCACTTGGAAATATTAGCAAGTAAATTGAAACTGGCTGCTTCTCTTCAAGCAAGTATTTTTGGAACTGCAGTGAAATTCTACATTGGCTCTACTGTGTAAACAGTTTCTAAAGACAATCTGCCAGAAATTATTATGAACATTAAAAATAACCCAGCATTTTAACAACTTCTTTTGTATATGGTAGGTCACACAGATGATCAGCTAGGGGTAATCTATCTTGTCTGTACAGCTATGTATGTCACCACTCCCAGCAATACCTTGAACCTCCTTTTTACAAAAAACTTCCTTCACCATGGAAGTAAAAGCATACAAGTGCTACAAGATCAAAAGAGTTTACAGAAGAAAAAAAGAAGTTATTTGTGTAAGAACTTTCTGGTTTTGCAAAGAGTCATTACATGCCATTTTTAATGGTCAATTAATACTCAGAAATGCTCAAAGAATTGTGTTTACTCAAATATATGTACTCTGTGTAGCAGAGACTGGGACAGGGCTCTTATTTCCATAAATTGTAACAAGTGACTTGGAACTGAAGTGCAGAATTGTATGATTATAGAAGGGCTTTGGATTGACAGTCACCAAAAGATCGTCCACATCATCCCAAGAAGTCCAATTTACATATACAAATTAAATATTAAAACAAAGTAATTGTCAAGTATACTAGAAAGGTCATGTATTAGTACATAAATTTATCAGTAAAGCCACACCCTAACTATATTTCTGAATTTTAAGTTTAGAGTAACTTGAAGTAAGTTTGACTTCAAAACACACTCCTAACAGCACAGTAATATGCATTTTAAAACGCTGTAAGCAAGGGGAATCTCAATTTAATGTGCCTTATATATCGTGAATCAATAATTTAACTTACTGTCAGGAAGCTGCACTTCTCTGTACCTCACTAGCTGACTGGGAAGGAGTGGCTTTGTATGAGCATGCTCAATGAGAGTGTCCTCAACCATCTGCATAATTCCTAATGCAGCCTGGAAAAGAAAACATAAGAGGATTTTTAGTGATCATTAGTTATTCTGTATTTAACAGCAGCATAAGACTTTCCAATTACTGATGGTGCTGTGAGAGAAAAGAAAAAGAATCAGAAATAGAAAGTAGGGATACTGTAATTCAATACAAA